ATAAAAATATAAAATAATAATTCATCATTAAATAAATCATAATAGAGGTAAAATGTCGTATCAAATAATCATAATAAATATCATTTTTCTTCATAAGTTTAGCACATTGAGTTCCCACATCGAGCTAGTTGCATTGCACATTAAAACTGAAAACTCAATTAGCAAAGCTATAAGTTTAATAAAATCATATGATAGCTATAATAATAAAATATAATGCCGACAAATAACTTTGAGATAAATGGTAAATGTGATGCATGATTTTAATTTACTAAATTATTTATTATTGGCTTAAGGCTTAATTAAATCTCGGGTATTACAGATTCTGCTTTGGGGGGACATACTTTTTGACCCCTATGAATTGGAGGGAAAACGCTTCCTTCAACTCATCCCAGCTCGAGATAGAGTTTGGCCTCAGCGTCCGGAACCATCTTTGGGCAGAATCCGTCAAATGGTTATGAAAGGCTCGGCACATGATCTCCTCAGCATAACCGTGCAAGAGCATGTGCCCTGTGTACATCTCCAAATGGTCATCGGGATCTCCTCGCCCATCATACGGTGGGATCGACGGTGACCTATATTTATCAGGGAGAGGGGGCGCCATTATTTCTTCAGTAAATGGATGGTCATGTGTGCGGCTGGGCGTGATGTCGACATTTACCACCTCAACCACACGACCTATATTCCTTTTTAGACCCGCCACGTCCCCCGTCAGTTTTTGCTCCAGGCTGGCCATACGTTCCATGATGGCGCGTGCTTCTTCTGTTGAAATGGCCGAGCCAGCTACTCTCGATGCTTCTGCCCTCTGAGCGTTGGGTCCGCCCCTGGCCTGGGATAGTACCTCAGGGTTTCCTGGACCTCTTCGTACCCGGTCCTCGGAAGCTCGGAGTCCGGCGGCCCCCAAACGGCTGCCTGAGGATTGGGAAGGCTGAGGCCTAGGAGGGCCCCGGTGATTCTTGCTATCCCCGGCTCCCTCTTGGATATGTGGGTGGTCACCGGGGTTCGGGTTTCCAGCCATGGCAGATCCCTGCGGCCTCGAGGCGTCTTCTAATGGTGGCATGGAGTTCCTTCCATCTAAGCGCTCAACCACAGTCATCAACCCACGTACCAGCTCAGTGAGAGTGGTCAGTTGGGTATGCATCTGCGCAGGATCTGGCCGTGGTGCGTCTGGGGGTGGGGCTTCATCTCCGATCGGGCATAGATCTCCTTCCATCCCGTTACTCCCTGGATGGATGGTGTGACGACCCTCCTATGAGGCCGACACTGTAACTTAAACTTTAACTTGTACTTACTGGCATTTCTTAAAATTTGCGGAACATTTTTTTTTTTTTTAAACATAAGAATGAATACTTTCATAATTCGTAACAATAATTTCAAAAGAATAAATCACTGAATTTCTTAAAGCTTTTCTTAATTTCAATTAAGATAAAACCTTCTAGAAATATTTTTCAAATGGAGCTGTGTTTGAACTCTTGTTTCAAATACTCTTTAAAAGCCTT